TTCGACCGAACTTCCTTCTCTGTGGAGATAACCTCATCGAAAGACACGTTATGGTCACATCATCATACGGCGCGCGAACGTAATGCCTCGCGCCCAGATATCCCCGAAGTCAACGGCGACGCGCTGTACCGCATCGCTAGCATCACCAAGACCTTCACCGTACTCGGTATACTGTATCAGCATGCAGCAGGCAACTTGAGCTTGGATGCTACAGTAAACACATACCTCGAAGAATTAGGAGACAAGTCGAACGGTGGCATTCCATGGAAAGACATTACATTGCGCAGTCTGGCTAGCCAACTGAGCGGCCTTCCCCGCGAGTGTAAGATGCCTTCTGGAAAGAAACAGAATCTGTTCTCAGTGTGCCACACAGAAGAAGGTACGCGTGCTAATTTCTTTGATAGGGGCCCAAGGTGATCTGATCAATAACAACTACCCTGAGTTGGATCGAAGCTCCCTGGGTCTGCCTCCTGATGTGTCACGGGAAGGGTTGCCAAACTGTGATGAGTACTCACCAAATTATGAGACACCCTGCACAGCCAAAGGTTCGCTTCTCACTGATTGAGCTTGAGAGAAGGGTGCTAATCTGAGTGTGCTTAGATATGTTTCGACAGCTCAAGAAGTTCGCACCGTTATTCGCGCCAAACCAAGAATCGTCTTATTCCAATGTCGCGTTCGAACTGCTTGGACTCGTCCTCTCGCGGGTGACAAACCAGACCTACGAGACCTACATCGATGAAGCCATCTTCAAGCCCTTGAACATGTCTACCAGCACTCTCTCCAAGCCTGCCGATTCTGCTGGCGTCATTCCGGCTGGTCCACAATTCTGGGGTGTGGACGAAGGCATCCAAAATCCTACCGGCGGCATCTACAGTTCGTCGAGCGACCTGTCGAAGTACCTCCGCTATATCCTCACCCACTACAACGCCATCACCCACGCGATAAACTGGCTACATCCCGTCTCTTCGTCCCGCGGACTGAACTCATTCTATGGCATGCCGTGGGAGATCTACCAAACAGACCGTATACTTGAGCAGTCGAAACGTACAGTACGCTTTGTCACTAAGAGTGGAGGGCTGCCAGGCTATACCTCCATCATCATAACAGCGCCGGAGTACGATTTAGGTATCACCATTCTAGTCGCGGGCCCCAACGCAATCTTATCCAAGATCATGGACATTGTTACAGTAAAGATAGTGCAAACAGCCGAAAGGCTTGCCATACAGCAAATGCGTAATCGCTATGCGGGCACCTACAGCACTTCAGATCCAGAAGTGAACTCTACAGCCACACTGAAAGCTGATTACCGCGGTCTTGTTGTTACAACCTTTGTTTCTAACGGGACGGTTGTCTTCGAAGCCCCGATCACGAAAGACGTGACGACTTCGCCCCGTTATGCGCAGCTTAGCCCAACGCTTCTCTATCGCAACGAGGAAGAACAGCAAGGAGAGGAGTGGCGTGCATTGATCTTCGAGGAGCGCGCAGAAGGGCTGGGCTCTATCTGGGACGACTTCTGCGTGGAGGACTGGGAGATGTCTAGCTATGCCGGCATACCTTTGAACACAGCGGTGTTCTGGGATGAGCAAAAAGACGGTCATTTTGAAACGCTAGAGCTACCGGCTTTCCGCATGAATCTCACAAGAGTGGATCAGAAGAGGGAGTCGAATGGGAAGTATGGTCAACAAGAAACGATGGAGCTCTAAGGCCCCACATTGCAGACCGGCCGGGCGGCTTGCGGTCATCCTCTCCACCACGTGAATCATGGCCGAACGACGAATCTTTAAGTCGCTGCAGCTAGTACAGATCACGTGAGCATATGCCACATTCCCCTAGAATCGCTGCCGAACGAAAGATTCGCCAAAACTCGCCAATCTTTCTGTCCACAGCGCTTGCATCTGCCGTGTCCAAAGAACATTCGGTTTTATCACAGCGACCATGGGTGACTGACTAGCCTAGTGTTTCCGAGCTTTATTAAAGACCGTGCTAGACTGGATCTACATGCGGAGCTAAACTCTAAAACTCACATGCAGGGCCGAACCACGTTTTCGCAAAAGACGATTGCCATTACTTGGGAGCAGTGGAATACCGTTCTTCACCGGGTTCATGTACCTCCGATGATCGACGCTGCTGGTGTTGGAACTGTTCGAGGGCTTTTCCACTAGCGAAGCCTTATAACTGTATACACTAGGCAAGCCTTGTGGCAATTGGCAAAACGCCAGAATGATTGCCACGTCAAACGCCGATCAGGTTCGCATCATGTTCACCTCCTCGTGATGCCTGACAGGCCGACATTCAGTACTGCGAGAACATGGGTGCTCATACAGCTACCGACCCCGATAATCTCGCTTGAGCGCGTCATACATATCTTGGCACAATCTTCCTCACTCACAAACGTCATACCTCATACACAAAGTATGTGAGTTTCCGACACGTTCAGCGTGTGAAGCCAGCAAAGGTAAAGGCAAGACATCGGAGGGTTTGTCGCTCGTTGGGCTCAAGATCCACGTGGAATTCGCCGTAGCAGCGGCACAGCAACGAACTAAAGTCAGGGCACCGTCTAGCTCATAGACTGCCGATTGCGGCCGAGCACGTTTTGTGTGGCGCGCCTTATGGAAGACACTCCGTGACGAGGATGGCAGCTGCACTACGTGGTGCTTGTAACATACTAACGGTGCTTTGATGTTCGGGAGGCTAGGATTTTGACGTCCATTGCCGCCTCTAGGAAACCTGTACGTGCCGTGTATAAGCCCCTGTTCTTATCCTGGTTCCTATGGCTTTTGTGTTTTACCCTGTTTGATCCGCAATCCGTCGCTTAACATAATTCTCCTTCCTCTTTTGTTTTCTCGCGCAGGGCTTCTCGTACGGCGTTGTCTCGATACGTACTGTCGGAAACAATCTGGGGTACAGCCTCGTCACATGCGGGTTCCGACATGAAGTTCTTCTCCGCACTACTGTGCCTCGTCTTTGCGCCTTTGTCTTTTGCGCAAAGTCAGAGCGGGAACGATGTGCTCGCGTCTGCAGTCAAGAATCTGCCTCCATGCGCGGTATGTAAAACATGTCGATATAGAAGACTCCATACTAATTTCGGTCATATAGTTAGATTGCACCCTAACAATAATCTCGTCATCAACATGCCAGCTCACAGACATCGACTGCATCAAAGGCAACGAGAAGCTTATCGATGACTTGAGCAAATGTGTCTTGGCTAGCTGTAAGCCAAAAGAAGCTCTGAGTAGGTCCTCTCTCATGATCACTCGTTGAACTTTGTGCTAATTTCTTGTGCAGCGGCGAAGAGGTTTCTTACTGAGTTGATGGATGCGCCCATCCGCAACAAGACGGAACAAGGAACGGTTACTACAATCGTATTTGGAGTACTATCTCTGGGAGCCTACATCCTACGCGTAATCTCACGACTTCCCTGGTTCGGCGGCAATTGGGGAATTGACGATTGGGTTATGACTGCGGCCATCATACTCATCATCCCGCTCACGATATGCGCGTACCTCCTGAACCTTTTGGGGCTGGGAACGGATATGTGGATGGTGTCTTTCGAAAACATCACCAAGATTCTCGAGGTATGTGATGAGTTAGTCAAGCCATGATATCCTGCGCTGACCAATGTTTGATAATAGATCTTCTACTACACGGAGCTTCTGTACCTTGCGTCGATCGCATTGACCAAGATCGCAGTCCTGCTCTTCTACCTCCGCATCTTCCCTCACCAGGGACTCCGACGCATCATCCACGTTACTATCGTAATCTGCATTATGTACATCATCGCATTCGTTACAGCAACCGCGCTGCAATGCATTCCGATACGCATTGCGTGGGAACACTGGGACGGCGAACATCACGGTAAATGTATCAACCTCAACGCCGATGCCTGGGCTTCTGCCGCTGTCAACATCCTTCTCGATCTAGTCGTCATTGTCATACCTATGAGAGAGCTCAGCAAGCTTGCCATGACCCGTCGACGCAAGTTTGGCATCATGTGCATGTTCCTTGGTGGAGGCTTGTAAGTCCAGTTCCCACATCTCACCTTGCCTCAACTAACACCTCCTCAGTGTCACCATCGTCAGCATCCTCCGCCTCAAATACATGATCCAATTCGCGCAAACCACCAACGTGACCTGGGACTACCTACCCATCGGATACTGGTCCGCCATCGAAGCCCACGTCGGCGCAATCGTCGCCTGCGCACCCGCTATCCGCCAACTACAACGTTCCATTCGCGAACGCATCTGGCCCAAACAGAAGACACCAAGCCAATACTACTACGCCGAGAACTCTGGCAACAGCAGCAAGAAGAACAACGGCAGCAAAGACCTCAAATCTCGCATCTGGCTACCGAAGACCGATCGCTCTCAACTGAGCACTCTGGGCCGGAGTAAGATGGACAAAGACGACTTCGTCCGCCTAGACGAGTACGAGATGGGCGTTGGCATGAGCGGAAAAGACGGAGTCCTCACAGATAGGAATTCGCCGGAAAACTCCTCGGAAGGGTCGCTGGATCGGTCGTTCAAGTCGAATGAGGATGTGCAGCCGTTGGCCGATGTTGCGGCGCCGGCGCCGGTGGTTGGCTCCCCAATGGGAGGGATTATGGTGCAGTCGGAGTACAGTGTTGATCGGGGGAGCTCGCATCCGAGTTTGCAGGCTTTACCACCAATTCAGCACAAGAAGGAGAAGTCGTTGGATGCGAGGAGGTGGCTTTGAGATGCGATAGTATAACCATGCGGCTCTCGACGATCTATGAACTTTGGCAGATACCCCAGAATATATATTAATGCATCGAAGTACGACTTTCAACCCTCAATGTGCTATAGCCATCGTACAATGTTCTCGCGCTTTGCGCACCCCTCAAAAGGCGCTCTACCAACACACAAGCATCTTCAATCGGTCAACACACCAAGGAATCACGACCCACAAACCCGCAAACCCGCAAACCCGCAAACCCCCAAGCAGCCATCCGCACCTATCAAAAAGTTACAAATACCATACTCCTAGATCCGGAAGAAAGCCAAGCACGCCAACCTCACAACAACAGCCAACGATTCAAGCACCAGCGCAGCGGCCTGACGCGTGCCGGCACGCCTTGCCCACTTGCCGCACCAACAACAGCAGCCAGGAAAACAAGGCAGCTACGGCGGTTCTTGAATCGTGACATTGCGCCAGCGAAGGAAGTTAGAGTGGGGTGGGTCGTAAGACCCGCACCGGCTCGGTAGATCAGGCCCCACTGTGTGAGGCTAAGGGAGGTGCAGGGAGGGGGTTGGTGGCTCGGTGGAGGCTCGGGGTTGTGGTTGGCTTTTAGGGATTTGAGTTCACCGTGTCGGGCATTTCCATATCGTTTCCTGTAGATTGTGCTGTTGTAGCGCCGTCTTGGTTCTTCGTCGCACCCTCTTCCACCGATTTCAACTTGCCTTCATCTTTCTTCTTCTCTTGCCTGTTCCAGTACCAAAAACCGCCCAAGACCAGCGCGGTAATCGGCAATGCGACCAGAAAGAAGATCCAGACGTTTTTGCTCCCTTCGTCAAACGGGGGATAACCAGCTTTGCCACTGAAGAAGTTCATGCCAAAGAATGATGACACAAAGGTGGCGGGGAGGAACGCCATAGTGATCCACGCTACACCACTCATCAGGCGACTGTCTCGTAGGGTTGCTTCCGCAATCTTCAGGTTCTTTTGTAAAAGGTCCCATTCTTCTTTCGCTCGAGCATCTTGGCGTAGTTGAAGCTCCTCCTGTCTTTCCTGCTGCCCTTCCGCGATGGTATCATTAACAAGCTGGCGTACCTCCGCGATGGTTTCTCGCAAACGTTTTGGATGGTATGCCTGTATCCGTTGAACCATCGACGTCAAGTCCCAAAGTCTAAATTCGAAATCCAACGACCTCCGGACACGCTCTGCCCATTTCGCAGCATCGGCACAGAATTCAAATCTTGTCATTAAATTCGAAACCCTAATTTGGTGGTTTAGATCGTTGAGTTCGCGAAGCAATGTACTTGGTTTTGGACCAAATGTATTTGAAGGCGGTTTGGTGGCCCAGGTGTTTTCTACCTCTTGGATCGCTTCCGTGAACAGCATCGCCTCTCTTACCACAACTCGGATGTACTGCGCTACAAAGTCGTTGAGCATGTAAGCGAAAGCATTGAAGGGTGTTAATTCGCTAGTACCTGGGTCGAAATTGTCTGGATATTTGTACGTTTCAATGCGCCTTTTGCAATCTGCAATCTCGCCCTCTGCCCAGTCGGGCGCTTTGTCATAGGCTAGTACCGCCAACCAACTTCTTTGAGTGCCCCCAGTCCTGGCTCTATCGAGCGAGAGATGCAGAAAAGGCGTAGAGCCTGGGGGTGTCTGAAACGCTATTGTATGGCGGTCTGCCGAATAGAAAAGACTTCCAGTTGTCGAGGTTTGGTTCTCCCCAATAGACGATAATCGTGCCCAGTTTGGTCGGAGGAACATCAAAGCTCTATCCAGTGCAAATAGCAGATTATATTCAAGCTTTTCGAACTCAAACTCAAGAAAATTGATGCTGGTGATGTTCTCAACAGTCTGCGTCGGAAACGCCGGCATTTGCTCGCTGACTTCGGCAGCAGAGTCGGCTGCATGACCATGGAGCTGTGGCGCACGTTGGAGGAAAGACATGATCTCTGGGACGTTGTTGAAAGTAGCACTCCCGCATTCCGGTTGCCGAAAGCCTCTTAGACCTGCGTTGTAGACAAATACACTCCCGCGTGCAGGATTGACGAGTCTGGACCAGAGGTCTTCGTCGATCTCGAGTGTTTGGTCTATAGCACTGAACTCGTCAATAAACTTGTCAAACTCCACCTCCGGCACTAGTTTCGCCATGGTACCGAGGTTGGCATGTAACAATGGCCAAAGTCATGGAAAAGAAGAAGGTAGAGAGCCACGACCTAAGGCTGGGCTTCTTGCAAGCATATAACACTCCAGCTCAGCTGCCAAGAGCACCACACCCATGCGCGCCTCCTAGATCTGCATGACAACTTCATTCCGCCGATATCCAAAACCATACACTGCTATCGAAAAACGCCCAAGGCGCTAAACGATTGGCTGGGAGCGAGCATCAGAACTTCATGTAGGTAAGCAGCCACCACAAATCCATATCGCGGTAGATAGGGGCCAGCCTTGTCACCTACTCAGCAGAATCGATATGCTCATCGCATTATCGTCTTGATCGAGCCGCAGGTGACAGATTTCAGCCTTATGTTTGCCATCGCCATTGGACATCCGCGGAAATAAGGAAAGCTAAGCCGATTGCCTCAAAAAAAGGCATCGCTCGAAAGACCACAAATCAGCCTTACACTCACCAATCAGCGGCCAGCTGTGCGTGAATTAACCGGCAGAGCTCGACAGCCTCGCTTTCCTTTCTCAACCACGACCCCCGACCTTCACCCCAAATCCGGCGCCCTTCTCCCCATCACAATCCCCTCCTACAACCCCGCAACATCCAGCAGCAACCCCTCCGTATATCTCCCCCCAACAACCAGCAACCCAAACGGCCTACCATTCCAATCCAGATACCCAAGTGGCAGAGTCACCGAAGGATACCCTATCATTGTTATCTTAGTAAGAGACGCTCGTAAAGAGACAAGACAAGGCAGGGCAAGGCAAGGCAAAGAACTTACTAGCCAAAGCAACAACGTCAGGTAACCTGCTATCCGCTGGCCCTATAATCACGTCGACGTTGTGATAGTGGAGGGTTTTGTCGATTGCGTTGGCGGCGGAAGCGGTTGCTGTGGTGTCGAGGCGGGTGTATTCGGCGGGTGGGAGGGAGTTCGCGTGGTTTAGACTTTGGATGAGGAGATCTTGTCGCGGGGAATCTTGTGATGGTTAATTTTAGCGGTGAACAGGAGATAAGAACGCCATTGCTGGGCGGTTCTTACACTCTGGTAACTCGATCTCACGATGTTGTTCGTTGAACTCGATTAATTCCTTCAGGGTTTTGACTTTAGGTGACTCCAGGCCGTTTGCGTATGCTTCGAAGAGGCTTGAGAAATCGTTTTCTGGGATGTGTTAGTTTGTATCCTGTACCTTTGGCGTTTAATGAGCTCACTGATTGTGGTCAGGACTTCGTTCATGCTCTCATCCAATGCCTCATCGGTAATCAGGTCGACTGGTCCGACGACGCGCTTAGCGAGACTTGCGATCTCTCTGTAGGCCGCATTTGTCTCCCGTATCTTTTCCTCGAGTAAGCTATAGTCCTGTTCCTAAGAGGTACACTTACAATCTGATCCAACGCCCCCGGCCGCTTTTTCTGCACCCCTTCCTCCAAACACCAACGACTCGGATCCAAAGTCCCGAAAGAAACATCCCTCCACCCTCTCTCAACCCCAGTACCATACCCCCTCTCAGGCACCCCCGGGTGCCCAACATCCACAATAACATCAAGCAGCCCAACAAGATCCCCAACACTCTTCGCCATAGGCCCAACACTATCCCTGTTCTTCGAAAACGGGAAGCATCCGTGTTCCGATACTATACCAGGCGTAGGGCGGATAGTGTACAGCGCAGAACGAGTAGCTGGATTTGTGAGAGAACCGTTGAAGTCGGCGCCGATGGAGAGAGGGGCGAAGCCTGCGCTGACGGCTACGGCTGAGCCTGTTGATGAGCCGGATGGGTTCTGTGGGGTAGTGAGCAGTGAGATAGGTGTTATGTGCAGAGAGGCTTTACTGAATGGCCGTAGATACCATCGTCGACTACACCGCCGCGCACATATGCGGATTGCGTCTGACCGCCACGTGCAGACCAGCCTCCGCTCATTCCAGACGCCCTGGAGAGGTCAGCGAATAATGTTTCGCGTCTCCGTACTTTACTTACTTCCAGTTCCCGAATTGCTGTCCTCATTAGCTCAAACCCCCCAGACACCAACCCCAAACATACAGAAAGATTCGCCTTCCCCATCAAGATCATCCCAGCATCCACCGCCATCCTAACAACCCTCGCCGTCTCTCTCGGTCTCGACCCTACAAACGCCCACCCACCATTCGTTGATTCGAGCTGGAATTCGCTCGACGTATCCATGGCATCTTTGACAATAAACGGAACCCCACACATCCCACCCCTCACAACCCCTCTCCGTCTTTCCTCATCCAGCTTAGCCGCAATCTTCTCTAGATGAGGAAGCGGCGAGATGGATATCATAGCTTTGAGCCTATCGTTGTGTTTGAGGATTTGGTTGTGGTATTGGCGGACGAGATCGAGGCTGGTGATCTTACCGTCGCTAAGGAGGCGCTGTAGGTCACTCGCTGTGACGTTCAAGAGGTCAAGTTCCATGCTGGTTATGGTTCGGATGAAGTGGAGTGGGAAAAGGATCTTCTTGAGTTGGTAATGGAAGTCAGGCTAAGAAGGCGGACTGAGAAGCTTATCGGTGGAGGAGCGACTGCTGCGGTTCCAATCCAAAGGGCCACCCTTACTCTAACCCCACGCACGCGAGCTACTTTCATTTGGCTTAGCCAGTGCGCGATAACAGCAGCACAATAGAAAAGACTGACTAAGCAAATGGTCAAACTCAAAACGATCATGACTTATCAGTTGTAGTCTGAGTGCCTCAAGTGCTCACCAGGGTGATCTGTACTGCGCTTACTATGCAAACTCCATCATGTTTCTCATTCCATCACATCTTCCCACCCAGTCACGCATACCCGTTCGCCTTAAGCCACTCCCTAACAACCCCCGCATCCCTCTCCGCATAAGCCGCATAACTCCTAATAGTATCATCCACAACCTCGAGCCCCTTATTGTACCCCCTGGTATCCTTCGTCTTAAAGAACTCCTGGATCTCATCCGCCACCTTCGCATCCGTAAACTTATTTAGACCAAACCTGAGGAACCTCTCTAGGACAACAGGGTTACCAGCAAGCGCCGGGTGGACCTTGGAGTCCCAGTTATCGCGGATGTAGTGCCAGACCTCCGGGCGGACCTTGGAGTTGTTGGCGAGGGCAATGGTGGAGCTGTGCTTATCTTGCATGGCGACGGCGTCGGAGAAGACAAAGTCCATGACTTGCTTTGCGAGGTCGGGGGTTTGGACGCGGCCGAGGGAGCCGAGGCAGATTTCTTTGCCGTCGATGGATGTGGTATGGAGGTACTCGTTTTGGACGGCTTTGAGGGCTGGTTCGCCGCGGTTCTTGATGGCGGTGGCGAAGACGGCGCGGCGGAGGGAGGGGTGGATGGCCTTGTTGTCTCCATTGATGTAGGCGTCGAAGCGCTTGAGAGCCTCGTCGACGGTGGCTTTGTGGCCGACGATGCCGGCGGAGAGGATGAGGCTGGCGCGAAGTTGGCCGACGAGGTAGTTCTCGCCATCCTTGAACTCCCAGCCGACCTTCTCGACTGCTGGGGTGATGAGCTTGAGGTGGTACTTCCTCAGCCCCTCGCTGATATCTTCGCTGCCGGAGAAGACGCTGCGGACGTTGCCAATGTTGGTCAGAATCTGAGACCATACAAGGTAGTCAGACTCGTCCTGGAAGCGCTCTGCCAGTGCGAGGAGACCAGCGGTGGAGCCGTAACCTGCCACCGCGTTGGCGTAGGCGTCGCCAACGAGGCCAATCTTGTCTTGCACGGTGAGCTGATCGCGGTCCTCTCCGAGCTTCTTCAGGCGGTCCGCAGGGTAGTTGGTGCGATAGAAGCCAGTGAGGTCCTTGTTGAGCAGGTAGAAACTGTCGCTGACGTTGCGGATTGTGTCTTCCTTCTGTGTCATAGCAGTGGTCTCGTGGACAGACGCGCTGGAAGCTGACTCGCCAGAGTGGAGGCCAAGCGGAATCCACCAGGTAGTTTGATCCTCTTCGGGCTTGACATTACCCGCAAGGAGGAAGCGCTGTTGACGCAGTCCAATCTGACCAGGCTCTTCAGCTACGGTGACGACTGGGAAACCGATCCTGCGAACCCAGAGGTCCATGAAGGTGTTGACGTTTTGACCAGACGCCTTGCTCAGGGCAGACCACAGGTCGTTGGTAGTGGCGTTGGAGTACTGATGGGCCTTGAGATAGTCGGCAACACCCTGCAGGAAGACCTTCTCGCCAAGGTGAGCGCTCAGCATGCGAATGACTGAGGAACCCTTGAGGTAGGAGATGTGGTCAAAGATCTGGTCGACCTCGAGACCATCGTATACGGGTACTTCGATGGGATGCGATGTTCGGAGCGCGTCAAGGGCGAAAGCTTGTTGGACGGATTCAGTCTAGAGAAATAGTCAATAGGCTGGTAGTAGATACCTCGAGATTTGTGACGTACGACAAACTGTCCCCAGACGTTCCATTCTAGTGAGAGTTAGCAGAGTTCTGCAATAGTAGTGATTCGACGTACCTGGGTATAGATGATCAATGGCAAGCCATCCGACCCATGTCGCGAAACCCTCGTTGAGCCAAAGCTCGCTCCACCAGTCCATGGTGACCAGGTTACCGAACCACTGATGGGCAAGTTCGTGAGCAACAACGTAGGCGACCCTGTTGCGGTAGCTGTCGGCAGATGTGGCGGGATCGAAGAGTACGGCAGTAGTCCTAGTTACGTTAACATGAAGTCCAGCTTGTTCAAGGACTCGACGCACCTGTAGGTAATGAGACCCCAGTTCTCCATAGCTCCGTGCGAGAACTCGTGAACAGCCAGCAGATCGACCTTGGGAAGAGGGTAGTCGATCTGGAAGACCTCGGAGAAGTAGTCGACAATTTTGTGGCAGTTGTCCAGGGCGAAACGACCCTGCTCCTTCAGACCACGAGTGGTGTAGACCCTGACGGGAATGTTCTTTCCGTTGTACTTGCGCTCGGTGAAAGCCTCGACGTACTCAAAGTCACCAATCGCCCACGCCAGCAGGTATGTGGACATGATGGGCGATCGCTCGAAGACGACAGTGTGGAAGCCGTCCCGCTTGCTGGGCTTGATCTCCTTCTCGGGCATGTTGCTGAGGGCGACCTGGTCCTTGGGCACTTCGAGCTCGACATCGAAGGTGGCTTTCAGATTGGGCTCGTCGAAGCAGGGGAAGGCGCGGCGGGCGTCGCAGGCCTCGAACTGGGTGCTGAACATGTAGTGGAACTCGTCGTCCTTTGCGACGGAAGCGGGGACGTCGCCCTTGGGCTTGTACTTGGAGCGGTAGAAGCCGGCCATGATGTTGTTGACGAAGCCCTCGAACTTGATCTCCAGCTGAGCTTCGCCTGAGTAGCTGATCTTCTCGCCAAAGTCAATTGTGACCTGTTGCCTCTTCTCATCGTATGAGATGTCCTTTGCTGACAGTGTCTTGTCGCCAGCCTTCAGCTCGGCGGTTTGCAGCTTGAGCTGATGCGCGTTGAGGACGAGGGTGCTGAAGCCATCGTCCTTTGTGATTTTGGTGGTGATGTTGACGGTACCCTTGTAGCCAAACTTGCCGCCGAATTCGAGGTCGTGGAGGGAGAGGGCGTAGTGCGAGGGTTTGGCCCTGATATGTTAGCTTGGTCACGGTACTAGGGATGTATCAACTAACCATGCGGGGAGGACATCGCGATCTGAAGCCATGTTGACGAAACTGCTGGTGACTTCGCTCTGGCAGAACCTCTTTTGTGCTGCAAACGTGTTTGTGTTTGCTACGGCAAGCCTCGGTCTTAGGCGTAGTTGGGTACGTGGGGCAGAATCAAGCTCTCTAGCTGCAGAAGAGAAGCTTCTAGAGCGGGTGAAGTGGGTCGGGGAGAGTGAATGCGATAGAGCAGAATACAGACGCGTAGGATGGTTAGCTCTACACCTCAATTGTCGAGAGCAGAGTCTCGCGGAAACCAGTAGGTTAGCCAGAGTGAAGGTCCGCGGGGGAGGCGGCCAGGGAACGTGAACGGAACAGGCTTGAGCAAAAGAGGAAAGAGGGGTGTCAATGTTTCAATTGGACTGGCATGAGATGATGCGTGTAGGCTTAGAGGGGAAGGTGCGCGTGCGGCACGCCGAAGCGCCCCACCTAGGCTGAATCCCTGCGTTCGGCTTTAGCGCGGGGTCTTGGGTGCATTTATTAGATCCAGATGGGAGGATGCTTGGAAGTCGGAAATAGTTCTTATCCTGTTGTATTTGATGGACCGACGTGGTGGGGTGTAGCGCGTCTTCTCTGCAATGCCCTCTACCTTCTCCATATGCTTGTAGCACATCTATCACGCATGGATCGGTGGATATCAATCCTGAAAGTGGTATGCCATTGACGCCTGCAAATGCTTCAGTATACGCCCAGCCATGCGATAGTATCCTTTCCACCACGCCTACCAGCCACAAACGCCTCGCACTCCTCTACATTGCAGACCCGCACCCCCAGATCCCCAATCCACCCCCTCCATTCAAACCCTAATCAAAACATCCAAACATTGTATCCTCCACTCCTTCTTCCCCAACAACCCCTTAACCCACTCATAACTCTGCCCTCCAGCTTCACTCCCCTGCGCCAATCCAACCCTCCCCCTAACCCCCTCAACCGCCCCCCTCACCACCGCCTTGGCCGTATGATTCGCCGCCTGCGCCAACACACCCGCCGTCTCCGCAACCGTGCCATTCAGCGCCAGCTCCGCGCTATCGGACAGCGGCGCATCGAACCACGGGGTGTGGAAGTCGAAGAGGGCGACGACGAGGATGAAGAGGAGGAGCGAGCAGTACACGCACGGTCGGTTTAGGAAGTAGGTTGCTGAGATGAAGAGGACGAGGTAGACGGGCGAGGCGTGCGTTCGTACTCTGCGGGGGAGAGAGGTGTTAGGGAGGGATTGCGCGTGCAGTGGGAGGGAGATGGGGTGGGTGGGTGCTTACAGGAAGAATAGGACGGGGATCCAGCTGCGGAGGCAGAACATGGCGGGTTGGTGGGTTGTGCGTGTGACTGTGGTTGTGTGTAAGTAGGGAGCCTCGCGTGCGCACGCTGCAGCCCTAATGGCCCTGACGTATTCGTCGGTCGGTCGTGTCGTGTGAGGCGCGCACTTTACGGCGATAACTGAGGCGAATGCGATAATCGTCGACGGGCGGACGTGGATGCGCTGACTAATGCGATAAGTCGGCGAGGCGAATGGGCAACGTGAAAACAGCGAGCGGACGAAGAAATAGCAAATGGGTTTATTAGGATAACAAAGTATCAAAGGTAAGAGGGCTGACGGCTGCGAGATGCATGGATGGTGCGGAGTCCTGGCCGCCGAATTAGCGTCCGCTGATTGGCAGTGCGCCTCCAGGTAAGCATTCGGCTCCCCTTGATGCCTCGAGCCTGCAGTCGGTGGCGCACATGCATGCACTGCTTTTCTCCTGTCTCAGCCTTATCGCTTGCATATTCAATACACTCCTCTGACCATCTCGCGTCTATTCATTTCAAGGTATCTTCCTACATGCCCATTCACCCTTGTGTGATGTCGTCCAACTCGTCCAACGCCCAACCAGCCAACTATCAGAGGCTACCTCCTTCCATAAAAATGCCACAAAACGCCCACCTAACACAAATATGCCCAGATACGAAGCAGAGTAGGACCGAACTCGGCCGCCAACAGCAGAAGGAAGCAGCGTCCATGCGCGCGCGGTCTATACGGGCAGGTTGAACTTCTTGCCTTGGATAACCCTGGATGTTCAATTAGCATGTTTGATGCGCCTTCAATGGCGGTTGGAGACGTACTTGGTGTAGTAAATGTAGAAGAAATCAGAGTACAGGATCGTCTGGATGATGCCGGCAATCACGGCGATCGGGTCGTAGAACTTGGGCACCTCGAAGAAGTAGCGGTAGATCCAGTTGGGGATGTACAGCGCCCGGTACGCACCCAGCGCGAACAGGTAGTGTGTCGTGATCGTTTCCGCCTCGCCGGTTCTCTGCAGCATGAAGAGCTGGGGCAGAATGGCGACGGATTCCAGCCAGATGGAGAAAGCCCAGAGGATCTACTTCAGTCAGCACCTTCCTCTTCCATTGCAAGTCCTGCTGCTACCCACCTCAGAGAACGTGTATTTGTACGGAAACAGTATCGCCAACACCGCGCTCGCGCCTAGCAGATATTGCACCTTGAACGTATCCAGATTCGGGTCGTGCGTCGGCTTGTAGTCGTTGAGCATGAGGTAGACGGTGTAGGCGGATGTGCTGATGAAGATGATTTTGAAAATGGTATTGTAGAGCGACTTGGGTTCGTAGAAGGTCCACAGCAGGTCGACGTAACGCGTGAGATAGACCATCAGATAGAGGAATTGTGACTTGAACGAGATGCCGGACGCGCTCTATGCCGTGTCAGTATATGCGGCGCATTACGTGTGCAACTCAGATTGACGTACGCTCGACACCTTCATCTTATGCAGCAGAATCAGGATGGATAGCAGGTGGGATAAATCCCCTAGACGTGTTAGCCCATCATACTCGAAGCATCATTTGGTGTCGCGAGGCTTACCCAGCAGTCGGAAGAGATTCATCATGGCGGTGCGTGGGTCGCTGGTCGCGGCGAAAAGAGCGGCAGAGGTTTGGCGACGTGAGGCGTGGTGGTCGGTGGTGGTTGAGTGCCTGACATAAAAGACACGTTCCGCCAGCTGCTTCACGTAGGGATGGAGCTGTGGAGCCTTGCACGCCAAGACATGCCCCTGCCGCCAACGTCATCCCGATCGCCGCTACTTCCCGCAGCAGTTCGCACCACTGTCGCCATACACTCACCACTTTCACCACCAGTCAGACATGGCCAATCTTCTCGGGTGGAAAGACATCCTCCGGCCGATTCGTGATGGTTACCGCCATTTGTTTCCCACCCCGGACACGGGACCTACACCGGAAGAGAGACGCCATCAGCGCGCATTAGATCGACTAAAGGGCTTCGCCTACTTCGATACCTTTGAGCAATTGGAATCGTGGATCGAGGCTGACTCTGACCCTCTGCAAAGAGCCAATACACCGTTATTGCGAGCCACCGGTGGAGTCCAGACGGAAGACCACAGAACTGGTGTTCTGCTGATTCATGACTATTCTGGCAACTACCACGACTATGAAAGCGTACAGGCCGTCGGCGTAGACAAGGAACTCTACTCATGTGAATATCTCCAGTTTGTTGATACTTTTGTCTACTTCTCTCATAAGCTGGTCTGTGTGCCCCCACCAACGTGGACGAATACGCTTCACAGGAACGGTGTGGAAGCGCTGGGCACCTTCTTGATTGAACCGCAAACTGAAGGCTCGGAACGTGTGTTGAATCATACGACAGAAGAGTCTGGGGATTTGATCTTTCCCATGGCGAAGAAGTTGGCCTCCATTGCAACACACTTCGGCTTTGATGGCTGGCTCATAAACATCGAGAAGCCATTTCCAAGCCACGTGTGGGATCCAGAGGTCCTTGGAGCGTTTCTACGCCAGCTCAAGACTGAGCTAGGAGTCGATAAACGGCTCATATGGTAATAACCTCACATCCACTATCACGCATGACTGACGCATGACTCTAACCCAGGTACGATGCGCTCACCACTTCCAACAAAATATCATACCAGAACGCACTGACCAGCTCCAACCTCAAATTTGCTGACGCGTGCGAAAACCTACTCACCAATTATTGCTGGACGGATATCCATGTTTCTGAATCAATGAAGCTCGCACAGTACGCTGGCTTTCATGGCCCTTTCGCCAAAGGCAAGAAGAAGAGTATCTACTTTGGCGTGGACGTCTGGGCACAGAACAAGTCTAGTTTTACCCACCCTCGCGTCACATATCCTGAATATGGGGGCGGTGGTACAAACACTGGAGTCGCATTGGCCAGACTCTCGGATACGGGTCAATCGGTTGGCATCTTTGCACCAGCATGGTCGTTCGAGCACTTTCCAGGCCATGAGCGGGATGTCGAACGCACCGTCTGGGAAGGCACTCCACTACCAGAGGGCATCGAGTGCATCTGCGGAGATTGCTCATCGCGTCACCTACCAAACAAAGAGCGTCCAATCCTACATGCAGCCAAAGAGCGCGTGGCAGGCTCAGAACATTTCTTCTACACCGACTTCACCCGCGCATTCTCTCCACATGGTGAGGAGGCAAAACACCTATTCAACAACAGCAACACACACTCACAACTGGGTTCGCAATCCATCCTCCCACGTCCAGCCAGCCTCTCCCCCGAAAGCGAATGCGCCACACTCTCCCATCACATAGAACACTCTCACAACCGCAACATCCTAGTCATCTCCTTCACCCAAAACCTGCTACCCGGAGACTTTGACGTACAAGTCTGGCTCCCCCTCTACAAACTCGACATGCCAGCCGATGGATCGTTGCAACTCTCAATGGTACTAGACAGCTACGATAATCTTAGACCACCGGAAATGGAGGACATGACGATTTTTTTGTACTTCAAATCTGGTAAAACGATGCATTATCACACGTTGCATCTATCGCGGAAGCCGATTGTGTTGCTGGATGATATACCTGGAGCGAGGATACAAGAGCTGGGTATACAGGTTAAGGGTCCGTTGATGGGAAGTCTACGTGGGCCTGTGAGGTTAATTGGTTTCAAAGAGATTTGCATTTCGCCTACATTGAAAGTACCTCCAAGCTCCTCTTTCAGGATCAAAGAAGCACGGGTTGAAAAGCGCGGTGAAGGGGAGAACAAGCATGTTAGACTGTGCTGGAACTACGAGGATGATGCAGCGAAGTCCGAATCCAAAACTGCGGGTATGCCATGGAGTAATGTTACCGGTCCTTTTTCACACTTTGAAATTCGAAGTAAAGGGCTGCTGTTTGCTAAAGCGTATGCGTTGGAGCATGTTCTGAACGAGAGGTTCGTGGAGCGGTATGCGGGGCAAGAGGTTGGGGTTGAGGTCACAGGCATTGGCTTCGATGGGCGTATACTTGCAGAGGCGAAAGTCGTGTTGCAGCTGTAACATGGTTGAATCCACTTCCTACCACGGTACTGCGGTGACGCAGGACAGACCAGCCACTTACGACTTCTGAAATTCACATTACTACCCAAAATCGAAAATCCAGTTCAGACGCGCCGACCTAGCACGAAGGCTGAGGTAGCGCACTATAGCTATATAAACCTCTGTCTGCTACCATCTCCAATCAAAGCGACACTCTTTCATCATACGAATCCCACAGCAAGTCTCACCATCCCCTTCCAATTCGAGAATGGAAGCCCCTCAAGAACACCCCAGTCCTTTGACGATGAAGATAAACGCCCTTAAGTCCGAGTGCGAGATCTACCGTAACAGCTTCCCGGGGAGAAACACAGCGTTCAACGGCATTACACAAGACTTTCTTGACGGAAAGTATGACAACGATGAGAAGATCCTAAAGATGATCACCAAAATGGTTTCGTATCGCAACACTTTGACGAGAACAGCAACGGAATTGTTGACCCTCGCCAATATTCCCAAACCCAACGGATTAGACTGCGCACAATTCGACTTTCACGCGTTCCAAGACTCGCAGTCATACAGAAACAAGGAGGCCAAATACCACCATGCCTTCAGGCAGGTTGCTCGATTCGACAGATCTTTTTTTCCTCCTCCAGATGTCAAAAAAGAGGGTCGACCGTTCGTCAAACCTGTTCAGTATGTCGCTGCGGCTTTGACGCTGGATGATGGTACCGACTCGAGCGAGGAGATTGCAGCTGCGGTGCAACGAATTAAATTGTGTATGTACATAGCTTCGTTTTTTCAGGATATTACTAATGATAGCATGTAGGCTACGAGACGATGCTCGCTGACAAGACCACGAAGGAAGTCGATAACGCTCCTGAGATGAGCTAGGCGCGCAAAAGCATCCCAACACCAAAACGCGTGAACGCGTCTCGAAACTTTGGTGGTTGGGCGAGAACGGGACTAGTGTGTCGACTACGTCATCGATACCTTCGTACCTTCCACCCCGGTCAACGACCTTGCGTGTATTCGTTTCTCTCATTTCAGCCAGGATACCGCATATGTATAATGAGATCTCTTGTACATAGATTAGCGCAATTGCCAAAATCATCTTTACGAGGTCTATATCCGCCACGATCATCGCCATTATTCGCCCGGTTCATCCAAGCCCGGCAATTCCACGCGTCGACGATGATGTCGAGCCCAGCAAAACGTAAAGCCGAGAAAGATATATCGCCACCAAAACCGAAAAAGACAAAGACGACGACAAAGACGAAGACAGAGGTTCCTGCATATCATCTCACTCCATCAAGACAAGACGAGTCTGGAGAGAACGTCTGGCCGGCAAGGAAAGAGCAGATTGAACGTGCGCGAGAGATCATTCGAGAATGGTATGTCACTAAACACTCGATAGAAAATGTGTAGAAACTAACATGCCGCAGTGCTGAAGCGCAAAAACCAATCGTTATCCTACCCGATAAGGATGCAGACGGGCTTTCTTCTGGCGCCATACTGCATCATACCCTCACTGCACTAGGTTTATCACCTGATCTAATATCCGTCTACTTCCCACCAAAAGGCTCTAATGTGCATGATGAAACCACAAAGCAGGCCCTGACAGCCATCTCGCCATCCTACATCTTCATTCTAGATCAAGGCAGCCGGAAGACATCGCCTGTCATCGACTCACCCCACACATGCCTGGTAGTGGACCATCACTTTGCAGATGAAGGCGGCTTCCCAGAAGGCAGCGATTACGTGACAGCTCATGACTGCCCACCCGTGGCAACCAGCGCACTACTGACATACACAATCTGCCTCCCCCTTCACCCAGACTTACACGACAAGATAGCCTGGTTAGCAGCCCTAGGAACGCACGGCGACCTCGGAAGTAGCATAAAATGGGAACCCCCCTTCCCAGACATGGTCGCGACATTCAAGCAACATCCCAAAAAATCCATCAACGACGCCGTAGCCCTAGCCAACGCACCACGCAGATCAGCAGCCTACAACGTGCGCGACGCCTGGGACGCCGTCATCTCCGCCAGCAGTCCGGGCGACATCGCGAAAGCCGACAAGCTGAAAGACGCGAGCATGGAAGTACGACGAGAAACCGAACGCTGCACCCACACCGCCCCCAAGTTTTCCGCCGACGCCACAATCGCCGTTCTGACTATATCGAGCGCCGCGCAAATCCATCCTGTTATTGCAACACGCTGGTCCGGTACTCTCAAATCTACTAAACTCGAAATCGTCATGTGCGCAAATGAAGGCTACCTGCCCGATAAAGTCAATTTCTCGTGCCGCGTTGCGAAATGTGCGAGAGCGCGCGAAGGAGAAGAGAAAGTCGATATCATCAGGAAGTTGGAGAGTATCGTTGCGGGCGACGAGGCATTGCGGAAGAGGCTTGGGGAGAGCTTTGCGAGGGGGCATAAAGAGGCTAGTGGGGGGATTGTGGGGAACGGCGAGTGGGAGGAGTTTAAGAAGTTGATGGGGGTTGGGGAGGCGAAGAAGAAGGAGGGAGCTGGGAGTGCGAAGAAAGAGAAGGAGAAGCCGGCGCAGAAGAATACGCTGGCGAATTATTTTGGGAAGAAGGAGAAGAGTGTGAAGGTGGAAGGCGCTTAGAACTTGGACGGCGGTGGTAAAATTGGACGTCTTCTTTTCCTTCGAGAAGGACCAGGGGATCGGTATTTCGACTACGCACGGGAAAGGCGTCGAGGCAAGCCTGGTAAACTCTGCGTCGTGTGTGATGAGGAAACCACTGGCGTCGATTTCGATATGGTTGCGTCTCCGTAGGCTTCCTGCATTTCGAACTTCAAGCAACATCGATCACACCATCACGGAAGAGGCGTAAAGGAACCCGGGTCGAGACAGCCTCGCATGCACTACGCTATGCCGGGACTCAAATCGAATGGCCCCCAATCTATCGAAGATTCCATATCGAACACAATCGAAGCGGAGACATCGGTGGCGCTCAGGTGCACGTCCGCCCAGCCATCTTTGAACACTTTGCTTGCTGTCGGCCCTCGTTGTTCATCTATATGAATAAATGCAAGGCGAAAAGAAAGAACGCACCAGTGGGTATCGACAGACTCAAACCAATGGTAGACGTTCTAGCAATTCAGATCGTTTCGGATTGAACGTCGGCTAGCCTGCTGAGCGGCTCCAGGCCCAAATTGCCGACAGATCGGCATTCTCGAACAGGAACATGAGAGGATCATCACAACGACCTTTCAAGATGCAGCAGACGCGCAAATACCTCTGGCAAAACGAATGAACGGACGAACAACTTCACATCGGAGCCCGAAACTCAGCGAACCTTGAACAGCCCAGATGTCAACGCTTACATGACGGCCTCGCACCGCCCCAACGCAGCCATCCCACTGACCACAATGACGCATAGAATATACGACCTCCATATAGCCAAGCATCACCGTTGCAGTCCGAAACCCAAAACCCGCGCCCATTGCGCCATGTGACCTCGGTACCAAACCACCAATGCCGTGCCCAATGAGGTAAAAGGCTGAAACCTGGGGACATGCAAGTTCAAAATCTCTCCATTTACACTTCGCCTCCGCTTTCCCTATCCCGGCGAATGAGCGCGTGTCGTGCAAATTGAGTGCTGACGGCCTGACGGGGCACGCGCTACCCGACAGGCGCCAAGAAAGCTTGATGGCAGTGCCATTAATTTATCTAAGTGATCAAGGCGAAAGCGATGAAGATAGTGGTTGGAAGCCACGACTAGGTGCGGAGATGACGAGGGAGGAGTAGGTACAACGGCCCGGGTGGAGTCATGTCGTCGGTCTTAGATTACTCTAGTAAACAGTCCTAAGGCGCATGACACGGAGAACTGAAGGGGAATAAATACTGGGAGTGCCGGCTGGAGTTTGGTCGAGAAAGAGTCGATACACACCTTCATACCCTTCACTCATTTTGCATCCCATCCCATCAACATCCAGCATGAAGTACGCCACCGTTCTCCTCGCCACCGCGGCGACCGTCTCCGCCCACTCCACCTGGCAAGAACTCTGGGTCGGCAGTGAAGACAAGGCTGGCACTTGTGTGCGCACTGTCAAAGACAACAGCCCCATCACCAGTCTGACCTCTCCCGATATGTTCTGCGGACGCGGCCCAGCTTCTACATCTGGCGTCTGCGAAGTCGCTGGTACGTTCCCCATCTCCACTTCTCTCTTCTCCCATCCTCACGTAGGGCATATCGTACAGTATCAGACATACTAACAAACCCCCTCAGCCGGCAGTTCCCTAACCGTCGAAATGCACGCCCAACCCAACGCCCGCTCCTGCTCCCAACCCGCCATCGGCGGCAACCACTACGGCCCCGTCTTCGTCTACATGGCCAAAGTCGCCGACGCCAAAACCGCGACCTCTGGCTCCTTCTTCAAAGTCGCCGAAGACGGGTACACAGGCACAACAGCGTCGTGGGGCACTGAGATCCTCAACGCAAACTGCGGAAAGCGCGCCTTTACCGTGCCCAAGAACATTGCGAGCGGGGATTACCTCGTCAGGGCTGAGGCGATTGCGCTGCATGCTGGTGCGAATAACCCGCAGCCGTATGTTAGTTGCTTCCAGGTTAAGGTTACGGGGGGTGGCAGTGCGACGCCGAGTGGTGTTAGCTTTCCTGGGGGGTATAAGACTAGTGATCCGGTCTTCACGAAGGCGATCTATGATTCTAGCTTCAAGTATGTTAGTCCTGGGCCGGCTGTTTACTCTGGTTGAGAAGGGCGTATGAGACCTTGATGTGGGAAGGTTGAGCATTGTGGTGTAGACGGGTTATAGAGAGGGATTTTCTTGTAAATAGTTGACATTGATTTGTGTATTAGAATGGGTTGATGCGATACCATCACGAATCTTCGAGTGCCCACTGCATTACCTCAGCCCCCAAATTCCCCATCTCTAACTCTCTCATCATACCCCAGCACCGCATCAAGCAATACCTGCGCTCCTAACGCGCAATGCTCGGGACTCGTGTACTCCTCCGGATTATGACTTATTCCCCCTTTACTCGGCACAAAGATCATACTCGTCGGACACACTCTGCTCGTCCACGCACTATCATGTCCTGCTCTACTCTTCATCTGCATGACCTGATGTTCACCCACTAACCCAACTGCTGCCGTCCTCACAGCCTCGATACAATCTGGGTGGAACTTCGACTCTGGCAATCCCCACGTACGCTCCACGGAATACGTGGTCGCATTGTCTTCTTCCTTAATGACTTGTTCGAATGCGCGTAAGATGGATTCAGAAAGCTGATCGACGAGGTCATCAGTATCGCATCGAACATCCACCACAAATTCTACGCCAGCGGGTATAGTAGCCTGTGAACTCGTATCGCTGCTGATGACACCCACGGTGGCTACACCCAGGCCAGTCTGCACAGCGGTATCTCTTACGGCAGTGATGAGCCGTGCAGCTGTTACCAAAGCATCTGCTCTTCCTTCCATGGGCGTTGTGCCCGAATGGCCTTCTCGGCCCGTAACGCGAATGGCGAACCACTTCATCCCTTGCACACTCGTCACGATGCCTACCTCTTTGCCTTCGCGCTCGAGAATTGGGCCTTGCTCGATGTGTAGTTCGAAATGCGCGGACAGATTGTTCTCGCGGTAATCGCACGGAGTTAGACCAAGGTATCCTGTTTCTTGTAAAGCAGTTGCCATGGACATTTTGTCGGTATCGCGGAGAGCGTGGCATGCAGATAAATCGGTGCTACTGTGCGTGCTCCAGACACCGGATGCCATCATTGCGCCTGGAAACCGCGCGCCTTCTTCGTTGGTCCAGTTTATCAGGGCGATGGGATGATGGGTTTGGATATTATTCTCGTGCAGGGTGCGCAGGACTTCTAGGGCTGATTGAACGCCTAGGATGCCGTCGTATCTATGTTTCCATCAGGCTCTGATGATTATGATGATTGCTTGGGTGTCGGTGCGCCTACCTCCCGCCTGCTGGTTGCGTATCCATGTGACTACCCATGCCAATTGGCGCTTTATCTGTAGCGGTACCTGGGCGTATAGCGAAAATGTTTCCCATTTGATCAATTTTGATGTCGCATCCTAGACTCGTGCATTCGCTGACTAGCCAGTCTCGAGCTGCTTTGTCGGAGGGAGTTAAGGTTAGGCGGCACATGCCTGTTGATGGCGCTGGGAGAGCGCCGTAGGAGGTGCATGTTTCTTGCAGTGTGCTGTTTAGCCTCTCGCCGTTGATCTTGAGAGGTTTGGAAGGCATGGTGATATAAGTGTACGTTGGTGAGTCGAAGACTGGTGTAGAGGGCTACCTAGGTACGCATGAGATGAAAGCGTCAAAGTCGCGGTACCTAGGTAGTAACATCCGACGCGTCGGCGTGCGAAGAACGCGTTTTCATCATCTATGACCAATGTCTATGACTGTGCAGGATATCTGCATCATTCTCGAGCGCGTTTATACGCGAATAGGCGTCGTGGTTGATAAGAACGAGGACGGGAGGAAGGTGGGGCAGCGCGAAAGAGGGGTTGAGATACGCACCTCACAAACCTGGCCTAGCCTTCTTTCCACTACCACGATAACATTTGATCCGCTGAGATGTATCCTCTCGTGATCGTGTATGACTGGGAAGAACATTTCGTGTTATTGTTCTGCTCGGAAAAAGGTTGTAAAAAACTGCAATGGAGTACGATCTGATCATCATCAATGGGGTGGTAGTGTCTGAGAATGAAGTTCAAGAGCTGGATATTGCTATCAAAGACGAAAAGATCGCGAAGGTAGTTCCAAGGGGAGGACTGAAAGATGCACAAGCAACCAGAACGATAGACGCTGAAGGCGGCTATGTGATGCCAGGAGGTGTGGACGCTCACGTTCATCTCCAAGAGCCTCCATTGTTCGGCAACGGTTCAACGGCAGACAATTACGAGACTGGCAGTCGATCAGCAGTATGCGGTGGTACCACTACCATGGTGACCTTTGCGCCACAGAAGAAGACCGAGGATACTCTTCTCGATACTCTAGCGGCTACTCACGAAAGAGCAAAGGACAACTGCTACATCGACTACTCATTCCATATAATCGTCGGCAATCCTTCAGAAAGGGCGCTCTCAGAGTTCAAGACTCTGCGAGAAGAAGGCATATCCTCACTCAAGATCTACATGACCTACGAAGCCCTTCAACTACACGATGGTCAGATCCTAGACATCCTTCTCGAAGCCAGGAAGCAAGGCATAACGACCATGATCCACGCCGAGAACGGACAAGTAATCGACTGGATGACCGCGCAACTCGAGAAGAAGAAGCTGTTCGCGCCGAAATACCACGGCTCATCCCATCCGCCCATGGCAGAGACAGAAGCCACCTACCGTGCCATTAGCTTATCAGAGTTCATGGACACCCCCATCCTCATCGTCCACGTATCCACGCCCGCAGCAGCCGCACATATCAAAGCAGCGCAAGACCGCGGCCTACCCATCTACGCCGAAACCTGCCCACAATACCTCTTCCTCACGAAGCTAGATCTCGACCAGCCAGGGTTCGAAGGCGCGAAATGCGTATGCTCGCCCCCACCTCGCGAAAGCGAAGCAGACTGCGACGTGATCTGGGAGGGTCTCGCCAACGGCACCTTCACAATCCTCTCTTCAGACCATTGTCCCTTCCGCTATGACGACCCTGAGTCGGGTAAGAAATCCAGCATCAGCGCAGAATACCCGCTAGGCCACTTCAAATACATTCCCAACGGCTGCCCTGGTATCGAAACACGGCTTTCACTGACGCTCAGCGCGAACCGCCTCAAGCTCACCAAATTCGTCGAAGTCACATCTGCGAATCCCGCGAAGCTATACGGTCTCTACCCGAAGAAAGGCGCGCTGATAGAGGGCGAATCGGATGCTGATATCAATATTTGGTATCCAGATGGCAAGATGGAGGAGTTTGAGTTGACGAATAGTATGCTGCATCATGATGTTGACTATACGCCTTTTGAAGGGAGGAAGCTGAAGCAGTGGCCGAGGTGGACGTTGTTGAGGGGAAAAGTGGTTTGGGATAGGGACAATGGCGGATTGTTGGGTGTGAAGGGGTATGGCAGGTTTACGAAGAGGGATACGAGTAGTCTTGCGAAGCCGATGAGGGAGGGGGAGTGGGTGTTGCCGCTGTAGGTGTGGGTTGTGGTGATGCGCGTGCGCCGTGGAAGTGGAATCGGACTCGTGGATTCATCGTTGACGCATTGAACGTTCTTCATTCTATTGTGACAGGAAATGTCGCGTGCAACGCGTAGATTCTCGTTGGTGTCTCCATATTGTGTTCGATGTTGTAGCCTTGAGCGAAGGGCTGGGCTTGCAGCTTGATGTTTGCCGCGGCTTGATCCTTATCTTATCAGCCGCCTGTGCACCTCGCGTCCCACCCCATTCTTGCGTCCACCTTCCTTCGCGACAGCGCGTACATTGTGCATATCTCCATCATGTTACATCGAGCATGCATGACTAATGCCATGCTATCGTCTTATCAATGCGGCAGCTTCTGTTTGCCGTTCCCGATGTAGCTATCAGGCCCAGGAGGCTTTTAGCTGGCCAACATGGGCGTACATGGGCTTGAGGAAGCTTGTCATGCGCCCAAGCTGAGCATCTCCATTTTCTAGAGAAGATGACAACCTCGGATTTACCGGTAGAGCATGTAGATATACTTGTGGTAGGTGGAGGACCAGTAGGTACACGACCCCGTTTCCACTACACACATGATGATACTGACGCTCATGCCCAGGCCTCGTAACCGCCTACCAACTCGCGCGCAACCTCCCTCGCTCTACGCATCGCATCAAGATCATAGAACAACATCCCAAGTCGTCCCAAGACAACTATGGACGCGCCATCACCCTCTTTCCCAGAAGTTCTGAGATGTTAGATCAGCTCGGCCTAGCTGACGCCCTTGCACAACAGTGCTTTGCATGCCGTGAGACTGTCAACTACGATAAGCATGGCAACGAGGTCGAAGGTAGAGGTTGGGCGTTCATGGAGAATATGAAGGATACCAAGTGGGACTTTGCGCTGGTGTTGCGCCAGAAATACCAAGAAGAAGTGTTCAGGAAAGCACTGGCTAAGGAGGGGGTACAGCTTGATGCGCCGTATGCCCTGGTGGGCATCGAGATTATAGACGGGGTTGAGATGGGTGGATATCGCATACTGGCTACGATTGAACATGGCGAGACGAAGGTGAAGAGCGCAGTCAAATGTCGATATCTGGTCGGCGCAGACGGCGGGCGGTCTTCCGTACGACGAGAGATGAAGATCCCCTTCGATGGCTCGTCTAGCGAAGACAAGTGGGTACGCGTCGATGGCGTTATCGAGACCGACCTCCCCAAACCGCGAACGTACTGCGCCATCGAGTCGCCGACACACGGCAACGTCCTCTGGGCCGCGCTCGACAGAGGTGCAACACGTATAGGCTTTGCGTTCACAGCTGAGCGTCAGAAGGCATACAAGGTGTTTGACGAAGAAGCTGCTGTCAAGGAAGCCATCGCGTCCGTCAAGCCGTTCAACCTCAAGTTCAAGCAGGTAGACTGGTGGACAATCTACGTTGTGGGGCAGCGTATTGCGCGCTCGTTCTTCGTGCATGACTGCATCTTCCTCGCTGGCGACGCATGCCACACACATAGTTCAGGCGCAGCGCAAGGTATGAACACAGGTATGCATGATGCAGTAAACCTAGGCTGGAAGCTTTCCCTCGTGCTCCAAGGTCTCGCCAAACCGGATCTGCTACACTCGTACGAAGCAGAGCGACTGCCCAACGTCCAGAGATTGATCAACTACGACAAAGACATCTCGCGTCTCATGACAATGCAATTACCCGAGGGCTGGACAGGCGACCCGAACGCCGACCCGAACGAAGTGCTAGGCGTAGTCATGGCCGAAGCAGCGACGTTCAGTAGTGGATTGGGCATATACTACGAGCCAGACTCCTATCTCAACTTCACGCAGAGCTCGGGTGTATCGTCAGTACAGCCTGGTCAGCGCGCACCGGATGTTACGTTACAGAAACCAGCAACTTTTGAAACTACGCGATTACAGACCGAGACACCGAATACGGCGACGTTTTATATTGCGCTCTTCGCTGGTGAGGTAGCTCATACGAAACTCGCTTTATCGTCGTTCACAGCAGCAGTCTCTCGACTTGGTTGGCTTCACGATCCGGATATTCCGATATCATGTCTTTCTATTATCGCAGGTCCCGGTGGGCCATCGGCCTATGAGACGCTGGGCGGTATGCCGTTCGGTCGTGTATTCTACGACCAGGACCGTAGTGCACACATGCGCTATGGTGTTGCTACCGAGAACGGAGCCGTGGTGGTGTTGAGACCTGATGGGTGGGTAGGCACAGTCATTCAGTTGGATGGAGATGCGGCGCTGAAGCTGGAGAGGTACTTTGGACGGTTTTTGCTCGCTGCAGTGGGGGGTAGTAAGGCTGGGGCGAAGCTGTAGAGTTGTTGTGGATTATACACACAAGCAAACATGGAGTTGAATGTGAAGCAACACATTGCGCAGTTTTGTTAGGGCGATCACATTGGTACCTAAGTACCTTAGTTCTAACTAATAAAACTAGCAGACTTCATACACGGTACGTATACACGTTGGCCATCCTACGAGTACCTATATGTAAGAGCGCACTTTACCGCCACGTGCCCACGCTTCAGCGATGGTGTGGCTTAACCAGATTTTTCACGTCAATTTGGTTGTTGTAAGAGCAGTGTAGTATCGTAGCGTTTCCGCCTTCATAATCCATTGTTGTAGAAAAAAAACAGGGTGCGAGGTACTCCATCCAGCCTATCCGGTAGCCTGATACATGAGGGTATATATAAAAGATCCAAACGCTCAAACACCAAACACGCTTTTCCCCAAATGAAAAGGTTGAAGCAGAAGTACTGTTATACAAAAAGGTCGTCAAACATCACCAACTGCGCCGTCCCGTCCTATCCCCTGATGCTACCCTTCCTGTACTTGTCGTCCTTGAGCGGCACTGGCGGTGGTTCGTCGGCGTAAGACTGCGCTGGCATGACGGAGTCTTTCCGTGCGTGCCTTGGGTCGTAGGTCGCACTCGACAGTATTGGCTCTGGCTTGTAGGTAGCGTTCGAAAGCGTTGGCTCTGGGTTGTATGTTGCGCTGGAGAGTGTGGGTTCGGCAGTCGGCTTGGGGTCGTACGTAGTCGCGGGTAGCGTCTTGTATGTGGTTGCGGGTAAAGTGTACATGAATTCGTCAATCGCGTCGTCGATGTCGTCGAGAAGGTTTTGTTGGTCCGATTGCGACGTCTCGGATGTCGACTTGCGGTCAAAGGGATGCTTTGGGTCGAAGGGAAATGTGAAGGAAATGGGTCGCTCGTTAGGTGTGTATGAGACCCGAGGTGCGTATTCCGGTGTCCAGTCTTTGGGGGATTGGGTTGGGCTCAGTGGTGCTAAAGAGATCATGCGCTCTGAGTAGATGCGCTCAAGATCTTCGTCCGGGGCGTTACCAGGGAACAAAGATTGCGATCGCTCGCGCACTTGTGAAAAGCCGCCATCGTATGTTGTCGCTGGTAGTAGGAAGGAGCCTTGCTCGGGTGCAGAGGAAGCTACCTCCCTCTCTTCGCGTACGAAGGTGAAGGACATCGGGCGGTCTTTTGGGTTAGGCGAGTTGTCGTTGGAACCATTGAGCGTCGAGGAAGAAGAAAAGCCAGGAGAGAGTACCGGGTCGCTCTGACTTCGCGTATGTGATACGAAGCGAGGGGAGGGGACCTGCAGGTATCTGGGAGAAGGCTGGTAGTCGTAGTCTGGTGGTGGTGCGATGAAGATGTCACCGTGTCCCATTCGCTCGCCAGGCGCAACATTCCGAAGTGCTTGCAGTCTCTCGTTCGCAAAGTTTGACTCCAGGATGTGCGCTCTCTCGACCAGTTTGTCCACAAGCTTGCCGTGCGAGTCCTTGAATGTCCTCTTGACGAAGCTCAACAGTAGCGATGAACAGGTCATCTTGACATCTTCCCGGATATACAGTCCGTGTCTTGGAGTCTTTAGGCCAGGCTCGGCCGGAGGCTTTGGCTCGCCAGGCAGCCGTCCTCCTACGGTCCACTTTCCTTGAATATCGAGACCAAGTGGTGCGTACACGTGTGTGTTGAGACCTTCCGCTGTGTCGTTGAAGCAGGCGTGGTATGATACAGAGCCTGTCGCCAGGCCACCCGGTAGATATGAGACCTTATCTAGAAGATGTCAGCAAATGCATGGTGAATATGTAGAAGGATACTCACCTTTGATAGTGTACCACATCGACCAGTACTCGTCAGTCGGCGCATAGCTAGGTGGCCTGCACTTGAACCGTTCCACCACCAATGGATTCAAGTCGATCATAGCTAGATGATCGCGGTACATGTCGAGCACACTCTTTCTTGTGATGCCCGCCGGCAACGGCGTAATGGTAGTGAAGACAGCGGTCTTCGGCATGGTTGCTTTCTCTCGAGGTACGAGTCGTTCTTCTCCGGACTGATGTTTCAAGAAAACCGCTGCGGATACGATCAATGTTTACGCGCGCGTGAAGCTGGAGAAGTGGAAAGAAGAATGTTTGGACAGCGAAGCAGCGAGAGAAGATGTACTTGTTTCGCAGGCCATCAGATCCATCCAGCCATGGCCGCTGACACGCTTCGCACACGTATCAGGCGAGCGCTCGAGCGCAGCTTGAAAAAAGCCCCTGCATCCAGATTTGCGGAAGGTTTGGGAACTGACAGCTCCCCGCCAAGCTCCCCGCCAACAAGTCGAGAGCGGCATCATTGCCGTTTATGGCAATCATTGGAATTATGTTCCCTGCCATCTTTGCTATATTCAGTCGGATGGCATCTGGCCGCTTTGTTTCTATGCGGGCCCCGGTGGACAGAGCATGCTCTTACTGGCATCGTCGTGGAAAACGCGTTGCCGAGAACCGAGAAACGCGAGTAGAACGCTGTCAGATGGTGTCAGCCGAGATGCAGAAGTTCTTGTTCTGTGACGAATATCGGTGGCGTGGTGTTGCAGGTATCAGAATCCTGGAGCAGATCCGCCGCAGGTACGTTAGACGCTAGCGGCGGCGCTATGACCAATCAAGCAGTGCCGATGAACTACTGAGGGGTTGCTGACAGTTATCTTCGTGAACGCATCCACCAGCGCGCGCATCAATTATAACAGGCAGCATTTCGACGTATCGCATTCGTACAGCATGATGTTGTTCACAACTATCGAAGAAAGAAATGTCTTGTCGCCGTCCGCATCGAACGTCGCGGACGAGGCTGCCGTTCCAGGCGGTTTGCGTCTCTGTTACGTTTCAGCATGGCTTCATCAGGCATACAACGCATGTTATAAGGCATCCACAAAATCTCCTCCTCGGCACACTGCTACATACCAAGCGTTTCGAAACGAGGCTAGAATTCGCCATCGACCACGCGGGTCGGATGTCGACATCCTCAATTCCTCATAACCAAGGCATCGCATGCTTCTATGACAAATGCGCCGTTAATGCAGTCATGTAAAGTACTGATAATCTAGTGTCCATCAGAGTTATCTGGAATACTTACAAAGTGACAGATGGCGACACAGCTGCCGAGAGCTTTCCTGCTTTTATCGCTTAGATGTTAATATTGGCTTTCTCTGCACCGGTGACGAAGGCATGGTCGTGAGGCCCAACGAAGAAAAGAACGCATCTTTGACTCAGCACTGGGCCTTGGCTTGGTCCGCGCTGATCATCGAGGTTGTGACTAGATTGTATGCTTCGCAATGCAAAGACGATCTTTCTCATCGGATGATTGTGGCAACATCACAGCAAATATGTAAAGATGTCTACCGACGAGCGCGAGAACTATCCCATCGCGCTAACTAATCGCCGATGAACCACTTACAACTTCCCAAGTTCTTATTGTACTCATACAAAATTGTCATCTCAAATGATGAGTATCGCACATGGAAATCATCATTCAAAAACCGTTCATAGCACATCAAAACACGACATTATACTCCAAAAGAAGAATGCATTACGACTAAACCAATGCTCAAAGCAAAGCAGGATATCCAAAAAGCCACCAACGCGCCGCAATCATACCTGATGATCGCAAGTCCCAAGTCATATACACATCACCCCTGCCCCACCACCGAGACCCGCACTTCTATACACCCTGATGCATATCCACCTCCTTGCTCTTCGGCGCCTTGCCACCGAACGTCATACCCATACCACCACGCCGTCCCTTAACAACACCCACAACACCGAACACAAAAGTAACTGCCCAAGCAAGCCACGAAACGGCGCTGATAGCCGTACTCGCGCGGGCGACATCACAGACCTATTCATCCCACATATTAGCCCCCAAACACCCCATCTTGACGTGACGGCGCATAGAAAGGAAGATCAAACTCACCATACCAAAGCAAATCCGCCCACTCAAAAACACCGCAAGAGCCACAAACCCACTAAACCAAAACAACATCGTCAGTCCCTCCAGACCCAACAGAGCCCACTTCACACTGCCTTTCTCAGTCAAGTGAGAGAATTTAGGCAGGGAGGTGAGTAGGAGGGGAATGAGACTGAGGATGGTCCATGAGGGCGCGAAGATGAGGTAGTTTATTTCCAGCGGGGAGGATTGGCGCCAGTGTGTTGACCACCATGATGATACTGGGGGGTGTTAGTTTGATGGAGGAGATGGGAAAATGGTGGAGGGATGGGGAGATGGGGAGATGGGAAGATGGGGAGGAGACGTACCATAAGCCATCAAACCGAGTACAACAATGGAAAGTACAGCTTGAGCCGCGCGAACGGGTAGGATCCAGTTGATCGCCATTGTAACTGTGCCTCTTCTTGTTTTCTTTCCTTTTTCCCACTACACTCTTTCCTCTTTCCGCTTTCGTCCTGATCTCGATCTCCTCAAAGGAAGTGGCGGAGGCGTACGCGTATAGTATAGCGAACGTATCGGTATCGTGTCGTGCCACACCTAGTTCCCGTCTATAACGCTGCGGCGTAGTAGTTCGTCGAAAACCTCGTTCGTATAATTCGCTATTAAAAGAGTGTCAAGAAAGATAACAACAGTATGTACCTGGGTAAGGAAGAAGAGGGAACTGAGGACACGAGGTAAGAAAGAAGGAAAGGAAGCGAAAAACGGAGAAGGGAAACCAGTTCACAACACCAACAAGCCGAGTAAAACCAAGCCAGGCATCTCTCATCTATGGATTCCTCAGTCATAGCAGTATCAGTAAGCATCTGCTCGCCCATACCACGCGACACGCATACACCTATTTCTTGACACCCAAACCCACGTTGCGGCACAATGCAAAATGCGCTGTCTCCCGCCCGTCGCAATACCCTCACGCACTGCACGGAACAGCGAGTTCCCAGTCGCAACGCAGACGACACAAGGCTGTGACTGGCTTCAAGTGGTGTTTCAGTTGTGGTTAAAGTGGATGGGGGGTGGGTAATCTGCGACGATTCATGCGACGGACGCG